GTTTAGCTCATGCCGACCAGGTAGTAGGTAGTGACCTGGGGGTGATTTCCCACACTCATGTTCATTGAAAACAGAAACAATAAATATCCACCTTTGTTTTTTCATTAGTACAGAAGAAAGATGAGAGTTGCTGTAAAAAGCTCATATAAAGTCCTTATTAAAGTACACACAGAAACACTTTATAATCCTTTAATTAGGTTGTAAAAACATTTGATTCAGTTTTGTTTGGAATATATTGTGTATAAAACATTAGACTAATGCTTAACATACCGTTTCGTATTGAGTGTGGACTGGAAGGTTTTGAATTTGTTAAATGAGCATTGACATGGTTTTCGCTCTAGTATTGCTGTATGCTGTCACCACTGTGGTAGTACAATGTTGTATTCATATAGCATGCTATAGTTTAGCGCCTTCCGAATATATCTTTCTTCATCAATATTTTGCTCATCATTTCACAAATTATAGCTCTGTAATGGTGTGGCAATTCATATCTTGAATATGCTGCTAATATGAAAGTGCGGTTCCATTTTTTTCTCAGCAATTGATCTTTAGTTTTTTTTTTATTATCTGGTATTAATCATGTTGATTGGCCTACAGTTACTAAAAAAAATTAATAGTGTTGAAATGTAGTTACTTCCATCGTTTACTGATACTCCACTTCCACACCATCTCTCTTCATTATGGCATAACAATGTTTTATTGATTTTAATTGGGACTTCAAATTTGTGACTATTAAATTATATCAGTGCATTAAACCATTAATTACTTCCCTGTTCATAGGCAGTGACTGTACAACAGTATGCATCTGGATATAAAGAATCATTTGTGTCATAATGGGAGCTTTGCATGTTCTCAATGAACATGCCTAACCTCAGTATGATCAAGGAAATAATTTCTGGTCCATTAAGCCAAATTAAATCAAGTTTCCTACTTTTTAAACATGTTAACTGAATAGCTTATAACAGGAGGTATGCAACTAGCTATATATTTCTTTTCCCATTTAATTTGGAAAAACTTCTTCCACACACAGTACATAAAGGTACCTTGTACTACTAGAGATTTAGAACTCATAAAATTAGAAACTGATTAAGACTGTCACTTTTGTGTTAGAGCTTCAAAAGGAGCTTGAGAAAGTTCCAAAAAGGAGGTTGATTCCCAGTCCTGAGATAAGAGTGGATGAAAGGATGAGACAGGTGTTGTAGCACACAGTATTGGGCCACCACTTGTGACACTGGCACCCCATGTCAGAATGACTGTTCAAGTCTTCTCTGCTGCCCCTCACATCCAGCTCTCTGTTAACACTCTTGGGAAAGGATCAGAAGATTGTCCTAGTTAGTGCTTGGGTCCTTTCACTCATATTGGAGACCTGGATAAAATTTCTGGTTCCTGGCTTCAGCTTGCTTCAGTCCTGGCTCCTGCAGATATCTGAATAGTGAATTAGAAGATGAAAATTTCTTTCTTTCTCTCTTTCTCTGTCACCTTCTGTTTTAAATAACATGAGTAAATTTCCCTAAAACAGTGAATAAGTGATAGGAAAGTTAAAAAAAAACTATCAAGGATTCTAGCCATTTGCATAATCATACTTGAAATCTGAAGGTACATTAACTTTTTTTACCTAAAAGCAATGCTCTGAAATATCTACAATTCTGAAAATGGCTTTTGGAGATTTGATGTTTGAAAACAAGTATATAAAAATTTAATAAAGCTCAGGACTGGCATGGTAGCTAGCAGCTAAAGTACTTGCTTTGCACGTGCCAGGATCCCATATAGGTGCTGCTTCTAATCCCGGCAGCCCCAGTTCCCATTAAGCTCCTTGCTTGTGACCTGGGAAAGCAGTAGAAGATGGCCCAAGGCCTTGGTACCCTGTAACCCTGTGGGAGACTCTGAGGAGTCTCTGGGCTCCTGGCTTCAGATCAGTGATGCTCTGACCCTTGTGTCCCAATTGGGGAGTAAATCATGGACAAAAGATCTTCCTCTCTCTCCTCCCTCTGTATATCTGATTTTCCAATAAAAATAAAGTAAATCTTTTTTTTTTTAAATTAACCCTTTTGATATGGAATTCATACTATAGGAAATTAGTTGATTCCAAGGAAACAAATTAACAAATGATTTTGTGCCAAATTAATTTGTATATACTTTTTGTTTGTTTTAGATTTACTTTATTTTACTTGGAATCAGAGTTGCAGAAAATGGGAGAGGCAGAAAGAGATCTTCAATCTGCTGCTTCACTCCCCAATGGCTGCAATGGCTTTAACGGCTTCAATGGCCAGAGCTGGGCTGGTCTATATGGGAAGCAGGAGTTTCTTCTGGATCTCTCACATGAGTTCACAGACCTAAAGTCTTAGGCCATCCTTTGCTGCTTCCCAGATCATCCTTCTTTCGACAGGGAGCTGGATCAGAAGTGGGGCAGCCAGGACTAGAACCTATACCCATATTGGATAATGGTATCACTGTTGGAGGATTAGCACGATATGCAACAGCACTGGCAGCAACTTTTATGACAATGTAATTTTTTAATAGTGACAAATCTGAATCAAGTGTAAGTTCAACATTAATTTAGATTATTTGTGTTATTAATTAAAAAGCACGATTATGGAAACGGGGGGGGGAGAAGGAAAGTTTTTTTTTTTTTTTCAGTTTTTGGTTCTTTCCACAAATGGCTATAAATGGCTAGGTCTGGGTCAGGTTGAAGCCAGGATGCTGATACCAAATCCAAATGTCCCATATAGATGACTAGGGCCAAAGGTACATTAGCAGAATAATGCATGAGCATTGGAGCTGTTGTGACCTGAATTGATACTTCTATGGGTTATTTAGTGTCAGAGGTGGTGGTTTTAACCAGTGCGTTACAACATCAGCTCCAAAGTTCAACAATTAATAAATTATGATAATTCAGTTTATTACAATATGGACATGATGTCTTGCAATTATGACATTGGAAGGAAACATCTAGATTGTTTAAAAGATGAAAAAAGATGAAAAAAGGGTAGCTGTATGAACAAAGCATGGGAGAAATCTTCAAGAAGTGAAAATACCATACAATGTTGAGTGTTGTGAACCAAGTATGTTGATATTTTTATTACTGCCTTTTAAAACAGCTAGTGTATATATTTTATAGAATAGCCAAGAATCTCAGGTCTTAAGCCAACATGAAAAAAGATCAGAATTCTAGGTAACAGATAGGATAATGTCACTTAGATGAGTGTGCTAATGTTGCAATCCCAGCATGGGATTATGGGAGTCTAACATGGGGTTATCACTGGTCACTGAAGCACCTCAAGGAAGTAGGTGATGGAGCTTCTCAAGCAATCATTTTGGTTTTCTAAAATGGCTACCTACAATGGCAGTGATTGAAATTCAATCCATTACCATTTCGTTTTAATATTATTATTACCCAAAGGGGAAGGGGTATGGGAGTGAGAGAAGGAAATGGAGGAGAGGGAAAGGCAGAACAAGCTCCTAGTTGACAGTTCAGTCCCCAGTTACCAACCACAATTAAAGTGAAGCCAACAGCCAAGAATTCTAGCCTGGTCTCCCATGTCAGTTACAAGAACCCAGTTACTTGAAGAATTGTTGATGCTTCCTAACATCTGCATTGTAATGAGTTGCGATAAGAATTTAGAGCCATATATCAAACCCAGCCATTCTGACATGGAACGCATGTATCTGAATCAGCATTTTAACAGCTACATCAAGTACACCCATCTATCTGAAGTATTTATCTGAAAGGAATACCTTGGCAATGATTCTATGATTTCTTCCTGCGTAGTTTTAAACAAAGTCTTATGTATGCTAAGTTCCAGTTGAAACATCTATACTACTGTAGATCTTGATAATATAATACCTTGCTTTTATGCATGCCTTACTACATTGTGTACCACAAATGAATATGGTGTAGTAATATCCAAGTAGGAAGTCATGGATTGGCATTTTATGCTGCTTAAATTTTTCCTTAAGATTTATCTATTTATTTGGGTCCAACGTAGTGGCTCATAGGCTAATCCTTTGCCTGTAGTCCAGGCATTGCAATATGGGCATGATTCTAGTCCCAGCTGCTCCACTTCTGATACAGCTCCCTGCTTATGGCCTGGAAAAGCGTTAGAGGATTGCTCAAGTCTTTGGGATCCTGCATGTTCATGGGCGAGCTGGAAGAAACTCCTGGCTGTTCGCTTTGGATCAGACCAGCTCTGCCTAATGTGACCTTTTGAGGAGTGAACCAACAGGTGGGAGATCTCTATCTCTGTAAAATTTTCAAGTAAAAAAATTATTTATGTAAAAGGCAGAATTACAGAGATATAAGTATATATTGAAGCCAGCTGGCTGAAAAATTCACCCAGCCCTTCCACTTTGATGTGGCTGTAGGGACCCTTCTGCTCCTCTTGTAATCTATCTCCTTACTAATGAGCCTGGGAAAACAGCAGGGCTTCCAAGTGGAACCCATATGAAATGTCTGTTGCCCTCTACCCCACAAAGCTGACTCCCTGGTTTATATTTTTCTGAAGCCTGCTGTAGATAAGTAAATTTGCTTCTTTGAGGGCTGAGAAGAATATAAATGGTCCTGTATGTTTGTGTTTCCATTCTTTTAATATATGAGCTTGTTGCTTTGGGGAACAGCATTTGTTCTTCTTTAAGCTAAAAAAAAAATAAACACAGTATAGTATATGCATGTTAAAATTTAGGAATGGAAGGCTATGGCATTTTATGGCCCTCAACATAAAAGTGCTTCAAGGGTTATTCATTATGAATGCAGGTTTGTTGACACTAAAAGTAGGGCAAGAGGTCCTATGTTATTCAACTGATTAAGTGTTCTCAAAACTGCATTAAATACCTATGCTATTGAAAGATTTTGAAATCTTTTTAAAAATAAATTACCCATATTCAATGAAAATTATCTAAGAGGTAGTACTAATGTCTATAGCACCAAAAAAAGAGAGAGAACTTAAGAAGTCTTCTCATTCAAAGTTTCCATGTTGAAATCTGATCACATCAATATTTTTCAGGTGGAAGTGAGTCCTCCTGGGATAAAGAAAAGATGCAGTCTCCTCTTGCTGCTCCTGGACCCCAACATGGAATTGCGCATTCTACCCTTGCTGGTCAGCCTGGCCTTGGTGGTGCTCCTACTCTCAATCCATTGCAGCAGAACCACCTGCTAACCAATAGTATGTATACTGTTCTCTCTGATCATGGCATGCTAAGAAAAATGTCATGCAAGATGTGGATGACACCTTGGGTTGGCACAAGCTATTCCTCTTCAGAAACATTTCAGTTTTGGTTTTTTTTTTTTTTTTAAAGATTTATTTTTATTATTTTGTTATTGGAAAGGCGGATATACAGAGAGGAGAGACAGAGAGGAAGATCTTCCATCCGATGATTCACTCCCCAAGTGAGCGCAACGGGCCGATACTATGCCGATCCGAAGCCAGGAGCCTCTTCCAGGTCTCCCACACGGGTGCAGGGTCCCAAAGCTTTGGGCCGTCCTCGACTGCTTTCCCAGGCCACAAGCAGGGAGCTGGAAGGGAAGCGGGGCTGCCGGGATTAGAACCGGCGCCCATATGGGATTCCGGGGGTGCAAGGCGAGGACCTTTAACCACTTGCGCCACCGCGCCGGGCCCGTTTTTTTTTTTTAATAAAAAAAAATGTTAAGTTGGATTCATTTGAAAAAGTGTGTGATCCATACAGTTGAAGTACCACATAACAAAGTAGTTACATGGAAGGCTAGGTAACAGAGCACCTAAAATGCTGGCTAGAGTCCCTTAAACGTGTTTTTAAATTTCTCATCTTTTTTTTTAAAGATTTATTTTTATTATTATTATTTTTATTGGAAAGGCGGATATACAGAGAGGAGAGACAGAGAGGAAGATCTTCCGTCCGGTGATTCACTCCCCAAGTGAGCACAATGGCCAATGCTATGCCAGTCCGAAGCCAGGAGCCTCCTCTGGGTCTCCCACATGGGTGCAGGGTCCCAAAGCTTTGGGCCATCCTCGACTGCCTTCCCAGGCCACAGGCAGGGAGCTGGATGGGAAGCGGGGCTGCCGGGATAGAACCGCCGCCCATATGGGATCCCGGGTATGCAAGGCGAGGACCTTAACCACTGTGCCACCGCGCCGGGCCCAAATTTCTCATCTTTTAAATTTAGTTTCACATCCCTGTTTGAACTTAGAGAAGTCATTGAACTGATCCAAGTCTTGCTTTCTCCAATTACAAAGTTGGGATTAAAGTTTCACATAGTGAGGGTTACTGTAAGGGCTATAAAACAAATGAAGGAAAAGCTGCTTAGAATGAACTACAAGTGGTACTATATAATTTACAAGTAGCATTGTTACATAGTAATTGAACTACAGTTAATATATAGAAATTAAACTGTTGTTGATGGTTTTGGTATCTTCAGGGACTAAGAAGTCTTTGTGTAACAAAGCATATCATGTACATTTCTTCACCAAAAATCTTTTCCTTACAAACAAGAAATGTGGAAGAAGGCTTACATACCCACTTTCTCTAAGATTTTAATCCTCCCTTAGATTGCATGGTTAAGGGAACTGATAAATTTTAAATATATTTATGATGTTCTGAATCTTATGAAATTCATCAGGTATTAAACATAAAGAAGTAAATTATGGTGTATTATCTTAATAGGTCATACTCTCTATAGTAAAATGGCCCTTACAAAATGAATTTCAGGCGGACAAAGTCAATGTCAGAAAAGTATAAATTGCATATCATGTGAAGATCAAAAAGGATTGATTGCATTAGATTTACTTCATAATGAAAGGCTACCCAGAAGACTTTTAGTATCTATTCTGACAGGTGAAGGTCTTGGAAGTCATTACTTCTGTGTAGCAAGAAACACTAAAAAAAAAAAAAAAAAAAAAGAAGAAGAACCATCTGGAAATTACCAACTCTTAGATCTGTCAGAGATCTCAATCTTAGGGCACTGGCACACCAAAACCAGAGAAATGAGTAAAAGAGAACCAGAGGAGAAAACATAGCTGGAGTCTTTTTTTCCTTCTGTTTTTTTTTAATATGCCTTTATTCATCTATTTACTTATCTACCTATCTAGCTAACTATTCATTTTGTTTTATGACACAGTTTAATAGGCACTGGGATTTCCTAGCCTCCTCTCCAAGTTCCCTCTCGTTCCCAATAACTTCCTCTAGTTTTCAATGGGTGTCTTTCATGAATATTAATAAGTCCCTCATGCTGCCTTGAAGTGTCTCCCAACAATGTAAGCATGAACAGTGCTGGAGAGTCCAGCGTCCTACTGTTAGGACATTTTTAGCCATTTCACTGGGAGTCCATCCTTGCTTTGTGTGTGTAGAAACATATTGTTCTCTATCTCCACTTCTGAACATATCAGTTTCTGCTACACTTCGAGTATGCATCCCCTTAGACACAGAGCCAGTGTACGCAGTCCACCATGGGGAGACATAATAATAAACATTCATCAACATGAAGTTAATGAACATGCAACAAAAATAACAATGCATCGTTAGGGTGGTGAAAAGAGTATCAAGGACCTTCATGTAGGAATAAATGTCAGCATGTGACCCATGTAGAGGTAAAGAAATTACAATAAAAACTAGAGCGTCATTACTCATGAGATGTAGCAATAACCATGATAAAAGGACATTAACAATCTTAGGTGTTTACAAGTGATCAGTCTCTTATGGATGATTGATTAATAAATCGCATCACATGAATTATCGGGAAAGATACAAAAAACTAGGAAGTGCTAAAAGGTAAAGCTCACAAGAAGAATAATTAGATTCGGTACCATAAAACTGCAAATTGAGACAAGAAAAAGCCATTCTCTCAGAAGATGCATTTCTGCTAAGGAATGTAGGTAGACTTGCAATGGAACTTTAAAATATATCTAGACTGAAAAAAGTTACAATCCCTGTTAATGACCATGCCAAAAATGCTAAGATCCATGTAAAGAGCAAAAAAAATGGGAGCCATTTCTCTTTCATATCTACTTTTAAGAGATTGTTCCCTGGTGATGCTCAGTGTTAACATGGCTAGGGTATGTTTTGCGCATCTTTACAGGGCATCGCTGGAGTCTTACAGAAGCACTTGAAGGGCAATGAGTCATTTCAGAACTTTTTGGACTTACTTGAGAGATAAAATTCCCTGGAGTCGTAATGGTATAGAGACCAGTAGTTTTCTTTTTCTTTTCTTTTTTTTTTTTTAATGAGTTTTACATCCAAGAGCTTGTTAGCTTCTCAGAATGAGTATCTAAGAAATTTCCCTTTGTGCTTTTGGCATGGGGAAAAGAAAAGCAACCATTTGAAATACATCTATTGTGTTCTATTTTATTTAACAAGTGCTTGCCCTCAAATGAAGCTGTTTTACTAGAGCTTAAACTATGTGGTTTTACTGGTCCAACTGATCTGAAGGAAGGAATATACTAAATTCTAGTCTCCTCTGATATTTGATATTGGTGGAAGGATGAAAACAGCTCCATATTCCTGTGAACTTTATTATCTCATGCAAGGTATAAGATGAAAAAAAAATTAATCACAGTCCAAGGAAACAGACTCACTAATGGCCTGAGATATAATCTCAGGATTATAGAATATTTCTCCTCTTGTATTTGCAGCCACCACAATAGAACTCTGTGTGATAAAAGGAGTTTATCATTGAAGTACTGATCATATTTAAAATGCTGCTACAAATGTAACAAAATTAAGTATGTTTGTGTGTTGCAATTGGGGGGGCTATGGAAACAGAAGCATGAATTAGAGTAAAATTTAGCTTCTAATGCCACAGGTATAGAAAATTTTAAAATGAAGAGAAAGATATAATCAGGAACCCAATATTCCACTTTAGAAAACTAAAGTATTGAGAAAATTATACTCAAAGTAAAAAGAGTTAATGATTACTGGTGAAATCAATGAAATTAAAAAAAGAAATAAAAGAATCACTGAAATCAAATGTTGGTCCATTGAAATATCAGTGGCATTAATGAAACTCTAGCTAAGCAAATGAAGAAAAAGAAAGAACACACAATTTAATATTGTCAGAAATAAAATGACAATCACTATTGATGTCACATACATTAAATTGATAATCGAGAAAAATCATCAAGTTTGATAAACTGTAATTTGTCAATTTCTGGAAAGATAGTAAATGAGTACTCACTTTAAAAAGAACATAATTATATATGTATACACATATACTAAAATATATGAATGAAATTAACAATTTGAGATTGATTATTGCTGATAATACAACCATGTTATTAAGAAATACTAGTCTTTCTATATATTACTTACTAAATTTTTAGATAAAGCTTGTAAATATAAAGAAAGTTAAAGATACGTCATTACAAAAAAATTAAAGAAATATAAGAAAGGAAGAAGCAGGGAGAGTGTAAGTGAAGAAAGATGGGGTATGGAGGGAAGTATCATTAGTCTTTTACAACTCTATATATGAATTACAAAAAGAAGTTGTTTCCAAAAATTAAAGAAAATAAGGAAAGAAAGAGAGATAGTTGTGGGAGGGAAGAAAGCAGGCAAGTCTGATGATCTTACCACTGTATCTATGAAATACATGAAATATGCTCTCTATATTAATAAAACTTGAAAAAATTAAAAGGCACTTCTATCTGTGACTTTCAGACACAGAATTCACCAGCCTAGTTGGGTCTGTTGGTAAATTCTACCAAACACTATGGAATAAATTATGCAAATTATCTACAATCAAAGAAATGTAACTGGAAGGAGAATTTTCTTCCTCATTCTGAAATCAACATTACTCTAATAACAACTACATTCAGTCATCACGAAAAAACTATAGACTCAACAAAATATTGGAAACTTGAGTACAGTAGTATATAAAGGTTGTTACATATTATATCTAATATGATTTACTCCAGCTACACAGGTTTGATTAAACACTCAAAAATAAATTGATGCAATCTGTCACATCAGCAATATAAAGAAAAATTATCATCACAATAGTTTGAGACAAATCATGTAACATACAATACACATTCATAATTTAAAAAAACAGAAAAAAATAGCAATATTGTAAAATGTTTCAGGTTTAAAAAGAGCATCTACAAATCCTAATGATAACTATAAGCTTAATGATGAGAAATTAGATTCTTTCCTCTGAAATCTGGAAAAATGCAGCGATTGCCCCCTCATCACTCCTGTT